GAAAATATGCTCAAATATGTTCTTTTTGTATGTAAAACACATGTCATTATAATAGACAATTTATCTATATATCATATACATTTACTTAAATGCTAAAATTATCTTACAAATCGTCTTCTCTCAAATTACAATGTCAAGAGTATGTGTATTTAGCATGTAGTATCACCATGTGGTCCTCTATAGAAGTTATATAAATCATGCTCTTCTGATAAGAAATGGCACCATCTCCATATTGACATACGTTTGTTTAGTAGGAAAACACATTTAAGCCGTGTTTACATTTACAATGTGTGTGTAGTCTATGTTTAATGAGGGTTCATCCGCCCGCAAGGCACAATATGCAGCTTTCACTGTCGGGCACGGACCCCGAACATGTCACCAGTCATGCCCTTAAAGAGTTAATTTTGGAGCACAAAATGGTGATGATTTTCCTTCCTGCAATTTCCACGGATTATTAGCCAAAGAATTTTGAGCCAAAGGTAGGTCACTGTACGGCGGTCAATGGGAACCTAAATGTACAGTAACCTGAGACAATAATGAAAGGGTAGCCCTTAAAAGGACTGTTGGTTCCAGTAAAGGGTCTGCCGTTCAAGCTGTCTATCTAAGCGAGGTGAAATCACGCGATATGGTCTAATGGCCGAAGAAAGCGAAAATGAAAGTGGGTATGAGAATATTTTTTTCAAATATTTGTTGTATATTGTAATATCTTGAAGAAAAGTATAGTGCATGCTGATCAGAACTTATAATTGTGCATGCTCTCAAAATAAGATACTAAATTTTAAAGTATTGACAAAGTTATAATGAGGTATTTGTTGCTGCAAATTCAACCGTCAACCTGATATGCACATGCATACAGTATCAGTAGCTTTAAAACGATATATTCGATTAGTGTATGTCCCAAAATGTTTATTTTTGATTATAAAACGATATACAAGAGTAGTTTTCCATATCTATCTGAATATATAAACAATATTTCCAGTTTTCTTTCTGTACGCATAATAATTGGTCAGATAAACTAACTGTACGCACAAATTATGGTGTGTTTTTTCTGTAGCGACGGGGACTTCCTCATTACAGGATATTCTAATTCAATATTGATGAAATATCAAGTTTTGTGTTTGTATGTTTGTATGTTAATCATATGTAGACCACAGTGTCAATAAAAACAACAGTGTCAATTAATGTATTATACTACGATATACATGTAGTAAATTTAAATATTCATTTCATTCAGTAAAGGTTTTATCACTTAAAATTATGTTTTTCTATTATTTATTACATTTTTATTTTATCAGAAAACAATAACTTTAATGAAAACAGCAAGTGGATCTACTATTGTATTACATGGTCGGAAAAAAAACGATTCCCATCCGTTCTTACGTTCATTCAATACCTTGAGAAGTACATGTAATTAACTGTGTTGTTGTTGTTGTTTTTTTGCAACAGGACTTAAAGTTTTATGGCAAAAAATAATGGTTTGATTTCCTTTATGGATTGGATGTTTTTTGTTTTTTTTAACCCTATTGGATGACCACTATTTATATAATGTCATTTTAGGTCGAAGATTAAAGACATTGTGGCACTTTTATTATACGGGCTTGAAGAAGTCCTACTTTTGCCTACTTTCCTACTTTTTTGCCATACTCCTACTTTTTCCTACGTTTTTTATATTCCTACTATTCCTACTTTTTGAATAAAAAATGAAACTAAAAAGTGTATATATCAACATGCAAAAGTTGCAGAATGAAATGTACTACGTGATAAAAGGACAGGTGGCAAATACTGTTTTATTGTTGTTAAGGTTCCTATGGACATGCTTCTGTGACCATTAATGCAAGCTTGTGCCTTTCTAAATGTGTGTGAACTGATTATGTTCTTGCCTAAGTGGCAAGTTGGAGTTAAAAAACATTTTGAACTTGTATGTTGCCTCTTATGTGAATGACGTGCGCTGTAGAAATTCTATATGCAAACCGAGGTTGAAATTATGCACCTATCAATAGATCTGGCAGGGGTGCCAGGATTAAGATACCTTTATTCAAGAATTTAAAATTTCATATGAAAAATAAAAAATAAAAGAAAATAAATCAAAAGCAAGATACAGTACAAAAAAAACAAGACTCTTGTTGTTGAAAAGGGCGACAACTTTTTGGAATGAAGATACAGTACATATGAACGTTGTTAAAAATTGAGTGATGACATGAAACATAGTTATTTAAGATCTTAGAGTAAAAGTTACTTTTTCAAAATCCTAATTATCACAGGTTGATATCTTATCATTAAAAGTTAGTTTAAATAGAAACACTTATATATATGGTGATACGAAACTTTTATTTGAAGTAAATCCTTAAGGAAAGAAGATGGTATAAAAACTTTGTTTTCAGAAATCTGGAAACGGACATATATATGGTAGCTCTCTTAGTATAATCATAGGAAAACATGTACAACAGATGTGATAATGAAAATATATCGAACCTTTAACAGCGTACAGTTATTTTATCGCACCAAACCCAGCGTACACTTAAATATTTTGACCTGTAAACGTCTATGTACTAGTATATCGGAGCACAAAGGTATTTGCTTTGCAACTCAATTATGATTACCCTTATAGAATAAAGAAGAAAGAAAAAAACTTTATCAATAAAAACTTGCTTTAAGCGATTTTATTCACCGACACAAAATCAGTTGCCGTCAGTTTACCTTCAATAACTTTTTTAATTATGAATTTAAGTCTCTGTAATTTTGATGACATGTGTTTCGGTCCTATCTTCACTCACATCTTCAATACAAAATATGCAATTGATATAAAATAAATGATAATAAAATACACTCACTCTGACGTATGTTTACACTAATTAATCCGCCATTATTCCGTATCGCATGATTTCACCTCGCTTAAAGGAGTATTACACCGCTATACGTTCCACATCCTGCAATACCTAGACTAGAGTTTATATTATTTTGCGTGTGGACATTTACAAAAGGAAGATACATAAGATTATCGTGGGTTCAAAATGGCTTTGCCAAGGGGTCGCTTAGTGAACATAGACTTGTATAGTAAAAAATTATAAAATTATTAAAGATCTTCTCCATCACCATTTGGTCCTCTACAGACATTATAAAAATAATGCCGCCTCTATCAGACCTAGGAGGGGCCATTTACATTAAATAGTTTTGTTAAAGAAAGTAAATGTAAATCGTGTTGACAAATGCAATGCCCAGAGTTTTAGATATCTGGCATGTAGCACTACCTTGTGTGTCCCGAAAACATTTTATTTGTCATTCATCTTGGGATAAACAAACACCGCAAATTTGATTTATTTACAAAATGTACTTACTTCTTCGTGAAAAATTTAAGACCTCTTATATGAATCTAATATTAGCATTCTTGGGCCAACATTTTCTTGTTTCTTCTTGTTGTCTGTTTGCTAAATTTTATTGGAGGCGTGGAGTGGATAAAGTAGAATTATTTGGTAGAGGGTCATTTCTACAACATAAATTTAAAGAAATATATTGTTCCCAATTGAATATTTCTGCGATGCTTTCGTGAAAACAATCTAGTGTATTAAGGAGATAATATTGACAAATAACTGAATGACAGATTGACTTCACGTATTGTCTATAGTTCACATTTTACTATTGAAGTTTTAAAAATAACTTAATTGATGAATACGGTTGCGAAACAAAAGTATACAGCATGTATATGTACAATGAAAGATGTCTCACAAAAATGTATATGTTTATAAAACAATTTTAAATGGTTTATATACTGAAAAGAATAACTTGGATGTCACTGTTATTGATATTTATAAAAGATGTTCAGTTCTTAAATAGCTCATTTTCGGCATAGCAAGAAAGTTTTAGTATCACACGAGTATTATAATTGTCTTCAGAAACCAAAATAATTTTGCGTCAAGTGACACGGAAAATAAATTAATATATCTACACGTACATTTAAATATAAACGGGTTCTACAACATTATTGATAGGAACGTTAACTAGTTATATTTTTTTAAATTTCCCTTCCATTAATATTGCCTTTTATTTTTTTAAACACCATTGAGTATCATTGAATTGTTAAAGTCAAATCAACTAAGACTAACTTTCAAGACTGAAGATTTGTTCCTTAACTAGATAACGCAAGCCACTTATGAATCATTCAATGCAGTTAGAGTTAAATGTTTTCGAAGTGATTATCTTGCAGACTAAAGTAGAAATAATATTATGAAACAGTTTTAGAAAGAAGGACATGTAATGAGAACAAGCTTTAGCTATTAAACAATTGATAACAGACATGACTCTTTATTAGTGCACTTCATCAAACAGGTATATTACAAAATACACGTAAATCTTGAATGTAGTCATAAGTGTCGGACAATAAATGAAAATTGCAAACTTATGTAAGTCATTATGAAAAAAGACACCAATATTTCAAAACAAGATAAGTGAGTAAGGCAATGTTAAATGTATTGAAGTTCCTGAAACTAAAATTGTGTTAATATAAATGGGGAAAAAATGTTTTGATAAATCACGGCGTTTGAACAAGAACAAATATAAATTTATAAATATTATCAAATTTACGTTTCTTATTTAGAACTTTTGTTTCTAATTCCCTTTAAGAATGTTTAATGATATACAAATATTTTAAATTGTTACACATATGAAAACATATCTAATCTAGACACATTTTAAAAAGACACACACAAAAAAATATTGTAACATAATTCAAATTACTCAAATTCCAGGAAAAGGTGTTTCTATGTCTAACCTTCAACGCAAGAAAAGATTACGATTACATTAGTTATCTTTTATATCACAGAGTATGAAAGCATGTGTGTGTTGTATCATAAAATATGAAGATTACAAGTATTCAATAGACAATCTGATAAATACATTATAATCACGTGACGTAGCGCAGACACCAGATTTACATCAATATTTTCTGAGATTGTTACAAAATCTATTGTTTTAATTAGCAAGTATTGATTAGCGACATTTTGTTAGCTAGATACGAGAAAAACAGTTCGCAAGAACAATTCTGTTTTCATTAGAAGTATATACGACCAGTGCGTCTCAACGTTTTAGAAGCATTGGCAGCGTACGGTAGCCTTACTGGAAAAGCCTATACTGTCTATCGATTTTTATAGGGTATATGGAAGTGCGGCAAAGCAGTTCTTCTTTAAAGAATATGCGATCTCAAACCGATGATTTCCAACGTTGAATTTATTGTTCCAATAGCACGAGTTAATCAAAGAACGGTTTGATTTAGCATTTAGTGCGTGATACAAGGGGATATAGTATCATCAATTATTCAAACGGAGAGTTTTGTTCAATTTAGACTTAGAATGTGATAGTTAACATAACGAACAAAATCGGATAATAAAAATTAGCGGAAATGTCTGTCAGTCTATAGAATGGTTTAATAGGAATAATAGTTTCAGTGAGATTTTGCCGTTATTGTAAAATTCCATTGGGGAATGATATTGTTATGAAATGTTTTAATCATTGTACATATGACTTAGGTTTTTTGATAGTTGTATATATATACTAGGATTTTAACGTGTGATGTGTGATATTTTCTATGTGTGTACAGTATGTTGTGGATAATACGACAGCAACATGGCGGAGTTAAGTGAACAGGCTGTGGATCAGTCTGAACCCGGCCCCGCTCATGATGATAAGTCGGAGACCGTCAAACGAGATTCAGATGTGACGGGAACGTGTACCAGTACACAAGAAGAAACAGGGAATGATGATGAAGATGAAATGCCATACCCGGGTTTCGTACCCGTGGCTCTTCGCTGCCTTGATCAAAAGAATGTCGTCCGGCTCTGGTGCCTACGTACAATAACATGGCCATATCCTTTTTTGATATTATTTGCATGTACTTGTATATCTATAGATTTGAAAATTTTCAGAAACATGTAACATAAGGTAAGATTTTTATTCATTTCTACAGCATAAATCAATGAATGGATTATTTTAAAAATAAAATAACAAACTGGTATTTTACGACCCTGCCTAGAAATACATTTTTTGATTACTATTTAATGACGGCAATATGTTAACAATTGATCAATACGCATTTGAATTTTCTCTATAACATTTTTTTTCATGTTCCGTGACGTTAATTGTGACGGCATTATAGATATTTGATTTCAAGCTTCCAAATTTCTCAGACAATGCGATTTAACAAAGAGTTAATTGACATATGTACATGGTGATATGATATATAATATGATGTCGCTGTTGAGTTTCGAAATAGAAAAAAAAACAGATAGAGGAAAGTGATAATATAATCATTATATTCTTTATGCTAACATGAATGAGTGTTGATATTTCTGAAATACCAAACCACCAATCTTTGTTACATACAGATACTTTGGTATATTTAAAATCGTTAACATTCTATAATCAGTTGTATAAATCAATAAGCTTTTACAAGCTAGAAAATACCATCTATGAATAATTCCCTTTATCAGCCGACAATAGTGGGTTTGTTTGTTACGAAACATACAATATTTGAATACAAAATTTATTTACAAAAGCATAATATTGATAATGGTGAATTTTATAGCAATACCGCAGTTTATACAGCTGTACACTGTCATGTATAATGTTGTTTTCAGTTTATATCAATAATTCTACATGATGAAGTCATGTCATTAAGTAAATGGCGCAGCAATACAATAATACTGAGGACAGCTAACCTGCTAAACTATTGATTTTGCCATCTGAACATAATTTTCTAGTGAGTTGAAAATTCCGTGATAATCTTTATTATCCCCCTTTTCTAACAAATCATTGATCTGGTCTCCACAGTGATTTGAAACAATATTTGTCTGAACGAATATTAATATGCTATATACAGTCCTTGGGGATTTCGTGTTATACGCCTTTACGACATTCGTATGATATAAGAGAAATGCTACGACTACTTTACGGCAGAATAAGGCATAATTTCTTGCGATTCGACGTGGCATCACGAACTATTACAGTATGATAATGTTAACGAAATGTTTTGCGTGATGGCGGTTCAATGACAGCCGTTATGATTGTCAACTTAGTCTCTTCATGGTAATAAAAGAAAGAACTTTCATATGCCGTTTATTATCCCATTATGTTCAGTTCATGATCATATTAAGAATAGTATGTTTGCTGTTCAGTTTGTTACTCTACGATTTTATATTAATTTCATATTATACATGTATCACGACCATTGAATATACTCCATTATATTGCCGATCCTATTTTGCGGCTGTACAGTTTGTTTTCCTTATTAATTTATTGGAACCAGTCTGTGCATGACTATATACATGTGAATTACATTATTCATTCTTTTTTAAAATCTCTAGAAAAGAGAATACGGGAACAAAGCCGCAAGTCTCCGTTTTACCTGAAACACAAGGAGATGTGGTTTCTCTTTATGTTTTATAATATTTTATTATTATAATTCCCTACACGATAATAGAGTTTCAATTATTTTTCATTTTAAGAATACATGGAAATAAGATGAACTGGTATAAAATAGCTTACAAGGGCGACATATATATAAAGCTACCGAAAGCATACTTAATGTATTGTTAAGCTTCAAAAATGACTAATTTACTTATAATACAAATAAACTGGTTAAAAATTTAAATGTAAATTATATCTTCAGTAAAACTTTAAAATCATTTCCTTAAGAAAATCGTGAATGAAACACTCATTTTACATCATGTATCGATAATTAAACAATGTTCAACGGGATATTTATATTTTCAAGGATGCTATATCAAACAGATATAATGATTATCTTGAAACAGATCCCATGTCGATAAAAATATTTATACATCTTATTGGTCCTGAAATATTAAAGATCAAAGGTAATTTAGAAAAAAGTAGAGTGTTTCTTGTTGGCTGTATCAATCGAGTGTGTAGTGGAAAAGCTAACACAATGTAGCAGAAGATTTGATCGGCATGATATAGGCTATGAACGGGTTTTGTACATTGTCTTTTATCTTATTGCAATCAATTCTACCTTGTTATCTTGTCATTAGGTTAATTGAGGAGAACTTATGAATCAATCTTCCCTTTGCTGTTCTGATGATATCTCACACGCATGTCCTTTTGTTCAGACATTAAATATCCCGACATAAATGTATATACATATTTCTTCTGAAATATAGGGCTTGATTCTGTATTATGAATGGTAAGTCATGGCTTTTGTGTTTGTGATAGGCTTATCAGCGTATACGTCTTCATATCATATAAATTGGTATAAGCTCGTCAATTTGAAAACAGATTAATTTATTCCAGAAGGTAAATTATTTTAAGCTAATGCTAATGAAGCGAACGTTGTATAATCTAAGGAAATGAGACTAGACTGACTTACCTTTGGGGCAATACGGTTAAGTGAGATTAAGCATCTGTCAGGGAATATTAGAGAAAAATTGAACATATAATTAGACAGCTTAATAACCTTTACCTGATAGATGATTATATACCCGAGATTATTTTACTATATCATTATAAGTATAGTATGACTCTAAATAAAAACGTTCAGGATCATGTCGAGTGTAGTAGTTAATAAATATACAACAAATATTAATTCATGACGGTTGGCTTTTTCTATGTTTACAAAGGTAGTCACTTATTTTTTAAATATATATGACAAATATGTGAAACAAAATATCATATTTAATAAAGCTAAATGATCGCTTCTTTAGATAGGACATCACCAGTTTAAACCAAAATATATTGAAATCAATCATAAAGTAACCTTGGATGCATTTTCTAAAGTAACTTTTGCATAACGTTTTGTAACTCCATCACACATTGTATTCAATAGCTGCAAATGCACAAATGATCAATACTTATGGCACTTAACTGTATAGGGGAGAGATTGATGTACATTTAAGCTACTATATTTTTGTTGTGTTGACGTAACTTCTTTCCACTAACTGAATCAGAACATAGCCGTCTTGAGAGTAATTTGTATAAGTACACGTATTATAACTTGTCTCCAGACAGTCACGTTTTATATCTTTGTGCTACATAAGTACATTTTTTAAAATAAATACACGTTGCACTGACTAAAGAAAAATGAAAAAAGGAGAAAAAGTAGATTAGTTCAGGGTGTAATTAAATAAATAAGTTAATGCACGAATGATATCTAGATTCTAATAGTTTGATTCCATAAAAACAAAGTATCTTATAAAATAAAGCCGATTTTTTAAATTATAAGAGCAAATGTTGTAATATTAACAGTGTGTGATTATCACGTAACACAATGTGATTTTCACACGACATCAACTTCTTTTCTCGGACAAAAATAAGTTTTAGTTCGCTTCAGACATAAAATGTTATTGAAGTCGACAGACCTATTATTAAAGGCAAAATAATCGAGCGAAGAATTGATTCATATTGTTTGCTTAGTTATTCTGTTATTAATGGGTTACTCAATGTATAAAAAAACTAAACGGATTTTCTTCTATCTTTTTTCTTTCTGTTAGATATTTGTGTAATATCATTTTTAGTGGTAAAGGGTAATTCCCTTTGTTTATCAGATCGTCGGTTATAGACGTCTATATCTGATAAAACTGGTCGTTGGAATATATACTTACATAATTAATAAGGAAACAGCAATTTCATCAATTATATCAGGTGAAACGGGTATCTGCAAATCAAGATTTGGTCATTATTTCTCTGCGATTTCAGACTAAAATTAAAAGCACCTTTCTGTTTGAAATGCTACTTTGCATAATTATTTGGTGTTGGTTTTCTTTTACATTTTACATCAAAGCGTTATTAAAAGCAATTCTTTTATCTCTTCCGTTTTATTTCCCGTAGTTGTCTTCTTTTCGGTAGTGAATGCATATTATTTGTAATTAAATAGATAACTTTGTTTACGAGAATGCGGCCTCGGTCAGCCGGATTTAGAAGACTGTTATAAGAGAATTATTCGATCATTTAATGAAGTATATACGAGATATAAACGGAAATAATATCCCGTAATGACGTCATAACATCTTCCTGATTTAACTCTGCAGACTAATTCAGTCTCATGCAATATCGAATTTCAGAGTTCAGGTGTCCGTCGGGGAAGTTATTGACAAATGAATACTAATCTCCTTGCAGAGATTACTTCTATTTAAAAACACCTGAGTTGAAATAAAACAACAACAACCCTGTTATCATTTCGCCTACACAAGTAAATAAATCATTTTTTTTAATTTGAATTTCAAGTCATCTTATATATATATATATTCTCACTTACGATTGTCCTTCACATCGCTGGCGTAAATTCCGTACTTATATTTGATACTGAATCAGAGTCTTTATAGAAAATGTGTACAAATCATGTATAATTCCGTAAAATTCATTGAAGTATGTATTTGAAAAAAAAGTGCTTACAATGTGCTATGGTTTATTGAAGGTGTTATACATGGAGAAAATAAATGCCGAGAAATAACGGGTGTTACTAAATCATTTACAGGAATTCTTGTCCTTTGATGATTTTATCATTTTGAAATTTGATAAAACTCTTAGAAAATATGAGAATACGGTTTTGTATTACAGATTCTTTAGCTTACATTTTTTGTTTGCACGGAAACTCGCTTGCTTAGGTCGTTGGTTTTATTCAGGTGCCCACCCGCCATTGAAATAATGAAATGATAAAAAAAACTGTACTTGACATCACATATGTAATACAAAAAAGAAAACTGAGCATGTGTCTGGTTTGCTGGTTTGATTGCGTTATGAGATGGAGTCTGGAATTTGGTTTAAGCGTAGGGAAGTGGATGAAAAAATAATGATTTTTAAGTCATTGTACAAGTCTTTTTTATCGCTTGTATTATAAGTAAGAATACTTGTTTACCT